ATGGAATCAAGTGTGATCCTCACTCTGCTGTAGAACTCATACTTCATTTCCAGGATCATATATTTCATAATACATTTTAACAATTCAATTGGCTAGATAAGAAAGTAAATTAAGTTCGGAGTTGAAAAATCATCACAATTTATTTTATATTTTAAAATTTACACATTCATATTTTCTCTTCATTTCACCATATCTCAGAGTAGAGAGATAGATAAAAAAAACTACTCAAACTTCATGAGAAAGATATAACAAATCACAAATTTTATATATAAAAGAAAGTTCATACAACACTACTAAACAAACAACACTTATATGAAATTCTTTCTCAAAGCAAATCCCTTGTAACCACCCCTAAGAAAATGAAGAGGAGCACCCTAAATAGAATGAAGAAATCTCTCACTTTTTTTGGTGTGGCATTTTCTGCTTCTCCAATACTCTCAGAGAAGAATTCACACTTAATATTTTTTGCTTCTCCAATACTCTCAGAGAAGAATTCACAATTAATCTCACCACAAAAAACTCTAAACTCTTAAAAAAAATCACTAATAGACTCCTGAATGGTGGTGAAATGAAGATGGAAAAAGTGTATGGAGGTGAGGTGTGGCAAAAATGAGCAAGGAAGAATGAAGAAGAATGAAGAGGAGCACCCTAAATAGAGCTTAGAGTCGGTTCTCCAATAGATGCATCTAAAAACCCTTCAAAAAGCGTACAAATTCATCGAATCTTCCAGAAACAGGGTCTGAACCGACATTGGTGTCGTCAGTACCCATTCTGGCACCGTCGGCACCAGTGTTCCGTGTTTAATTCTATGCTCTCTATCAAATGGCGTCGTCGACGCTCCTTCTGGCGCCGTCGGCGCTTAGTGAAATTCATCAGTCGTTCTGTAAGTCTGCGCCGTTGGCGCTGAATGTTTCTTCAAAAACATCATTTTGACTCTAAATTCCATTCTTTTTGCTTACTTTTTTCTTCAACTCTTACAAATCAACAACCTGCAAGAAAACATAAAATACCTTCCATTAAAACGCAATATCACCAAAATCAGTATAAAATACGCAATATCACAAAAATCAGTATAAAATATGGGTCTAAAAATGTATATATTTTTGGTGTATCAGCCCTCTTTATAGGACCTATTAGGGACCCTTACAATCCAAACTCTAAACCAAATTAGAAAAATAATCTAGTCTGACATCATAGAAATATCAATTTTATGCCAATCAAAACTTATCTCCCTATCGATTTGCACTCCCTCTTAGGTGATTGACTCTGCCCAGAGTGAAGTGTGACACTCACTAGTTGGGTGAAATCGTAGCCCCCTCCGATATTTATGTTTGTCAATGGATTTTAAACTCACAAGTGACAAATTTCTAAAGTGAATGAAGATTCTGTAAAAAATTCATCACAGTTTTTAAAAGTAAAAAAAAAATCTTTTAAGCGTTCTCATCCTACAAAATTAATTCCAAAGAGTGAGGAGAAAGAAAAAAAACTACTCTGATTTCATGGAGAATGAAATAAAAAAACAAAATTTATATTGAAATCTAAGTCTTAGAAACAAAAACTTGAATACGAAATACCTTATGTCTTCTCCCCAACACAAATTCTTGAGTTTCCTTGAAGAATTCTTCAAACTATTACTCGTTACAACACAAAACACACTTAAACACAAAAGTGGGACTTCCTGAAGCCTTCAAATACTGCCAAAAAGTCCTCTTTTTCTTCCAATTTTCTTTCCTATTAATAGATATTTGAAAATAGCCAAAGGGTTGCTTCAGACACCCCTTTAAAATATGGATAAATTCAATGGATCTTCTAGAAAGGAAGTTACCGGCGCTATAGTGCTAGTCTGGGTTCTATAGCACCCACTGCACTCGTCTGTGGCACTATAGCACCATAGGGCGGCGCTATGGCGCCATATAAACTGCATCACTTTTGCTCATTTTTTCTTCATTTTCTTCAAATGTCAATTTCATGTACATAAAATAATAAACATACAAAATATTTTCTTTTAAAGTGCAATATCACTAAAAAAAAATAATAAACATACAAAATATTTTTTCTTAAAGTGCAATATCACTAAAAATATGCATAAAACGATCATAAAATATTCACTTAAAACTTGTAATTTAAAGGTGGATCAGGTAGGATGTCTCATTGCCTTGTTTCTGACCGAACGACTCAAATTCATGTCATTTGGTCATCATTTGTGGTTCGATCGAGTTTTGTCTTGCCTGTTCTGGCTTAAACAACTACACTTAGTAGGATAAGTGGGCCTTATGGCTTTTTGTTGGCGGGCCGTCATTTGTTGTAGGTTCCTCCGCTAAATCGTTATATCTCATTAGGCTCAGCATTAGCACATTTTCAATGTACAAAATCAAACTTGTTGAATTACCGATTCGTAGTTGAACCGATCAAACCAGTTGACTTGGTCAATTTTTTAAAAGCATACTTATATATCTACCTCATACATCATTGCTATAATTGAAATCGAAACAAGTATATTTATTTTTAATTTTTTTCAAAATTCTCCAATTTAAATTTATCCGTTAATTTGATAAAGATAGTTGTGACGCGAATTGCAAACGTTTGGCGCCTTTTATCTCCCATCTATAATGCACAAATTAAATGCAATAACTATCTACTTTGTTGGTAGGGTAGTTAATTATTGCCGTAGTCCTCTGAGATGGGGCAAGGAATAGAAATTCTCAAAACAAGGAAGTTAAGAATGAAATTTTTAGTCTGTAAATTGTTGATTAAGCATTAAGTCAAGCAAATTAAATTCTTGAGGATATATTAAAACATGCATAGTTATCCTTTTGTTTTTATTATGTAGAAATACATGTTGTTGCATTGTAAATATGGGATTTGTGGTCTTCATTTACTGATTTAAGAATTATCAAATATTTAAAAATTGACTAAAAAATTCTAGTTGTTCGATTAAATTCTGTCAGCGGTGATGCCCAAACCCTTTTATGCAATATATATGACGATTTAGCACTCAATAAAAAATATGAATACCGCAAGGAGGAGCGTTTCTCCAAAAAATGGTATCCTCGAGAAGACCCTAAATTTATAAATTTTTTTAACGTTATAAAATATATCATATATATATTCTTATAATTCAAAAGTAAATAATACATAATTTTGACCCTAATATAAATATATATGAGGACATTGTAATCATAGTCCCATTGACTGTTTAACTTATATATTTATGAAATTTTTATATATTATTTAAGTTTGACATCTTTAAATTTTTCAATATTTTAAGTTGATTTGAACTTGATTTATTTATGACAAGTAAACCAATATTCAAACGAACAAATAAACGAGCTAAAAATTCAAATGAGTATTTAGATTTTCATATAAAATTCAATAAATAATTTTACAAATCCGATCACACCTATTCTATCTATCTTTAATTCTGTAAAAATAAAAGGTAACTCATGAACGATGAATATGTGAGATGTAATATCTCAAATTTTAAAATGATAATACTTCCAAGTTTGCACCAAACTCTCACAATTTTCTGTACACATTAGTTTTTTTATATTCACATGCACTTGTCATTTTCCTAATTTTTTTGAAAATTTTGTAAACTTTTTTTGATGTGAAGTTGTTGCATTATTCTTATTCTTAATTTTATTTAGCATACAACGATTATGTTGCACTTTCTCAACATCACTTTTTAATCGGGTAGAATTTATGAGCTGCGTAGAAATAACAGATTATGAGGACCATAGTTTCAGAGATCCTTTCACAGTGTGATCTTGTCATTACATTTGATGCTTGCACCTTCGAGCAACTCAGTGTTTTGTATGATTCGGGGGATACTAGAAGACACGAAATTGTTAGAAGCCAGAGAGAAAATAAGATTTATGTGGGTTTAAAATTAATTTTAAGGGGGTGTTTCTCACATATCACATAAGTCTTTATCTATTTTCTAATGAAAAACCTAAGCTTCAATAAAATAATTATACAATTAATAATTAATCAAAAAATTTTATTATATAATAGTATAATATTAAATCAATAGTTAAATAAATTTTTTGTTAATTAAAATTTATTTAAATAATATATCATATCGGATACGCGTTATCATCGAGCTTAATATCGAGTATTTAAAGAGTTTGCTCGTAAGCGTAAATGAATAGATTCGACTATATACTTTTTTTTGTTCATTCAAGTTCCGAACTTCTAAAATATCTTCAATCTTGTTTGTAATTAAGTATGAATCGAGTCGAGTTTGAGTATATAGGCCTTTAAGAGAGAAGCATAATACTAAGTTAAGTGTTCCTAGATGAGAATGATTAGGTGGATGAGTGGCTATACTTCTAGAAAGAAAATGTGAAATGAATATATCTATGATAGGGTTGGTGTAGCTCCAGCGAAGGACAAAATTAGATAGAGTCATCTTAAATGGTTCGGTTACATTAAACGTCGACTATCTGATGATTCGATTAGAAGAGTAGAAGTTTTCAATTTGACTTATGTTAAGAAAGACAGATGTAGACCTAGAAAGACTTGTACTTATTGTAAGAAAAATAATCTTAATTTATTAGAATTAAATCAAAATATGATGCTAAATAGGAGGCAACCGAGAAAAAGAATCATTTAGCTGACCCCTCTTAGTGACCATTAAGCTCCTCGCACAACGACGTTTGTTGACATATGTTTCATGATTAAACAATAATATTAAATACTTATTTAATTATGACAGTAATTAAAGGAACAATGTGTTCTCTTCAATTTTCCCCTTCGAAAAATATTATTTTTTAGCCTCACCTTATTCGCGAACAATAATAACGTCCCCTCTTGCAGCCTTGGTCCAAAGACATTTCTCCCATCTTGAATCCATTGCAAGGCATCTTGAACGAGTTCTTCCGTTTACCATCACCCCCGGCCATTCTCTTTCTCAAAAGCTAAGAATTGCACAGTTTTCCATGCTTGTATTTTTCTCAACTATTTCCGAAATTCTATCATTTCTCTCTCTCCCATCATAAATGAATTCCATGCAGCAATCCTCTGCTTTGAAAAGTGAGCTTACGATTAAGGCACTTTATTTCCTTATTAAATCTCTTCTTTGGATAATTTCCGCTGTCTCAGAACCACACCCTCTCTTCTCGGCCGCTTCTGCCGGCGTTGTCGCCGTCCTCTACCTTCCTTGTCGCTACCTTTCAATCTTTTTTTCCCCAGTTCTTCTCTCCACTCTGGGTCTCTTGTTCACCCTACTTCGATTCGGCTCAGCACCGACGCCTCCGCCGCTGCCTTCAGCCCCTCCCGAAACCGACTCGAAACAAATGAAATTATCACCGGAAGTTGAAAGGCCTCTTCTTTCTTTGACGCAAAACCACGTCTTTTGTAAGCCTTCGCTCGAATGGGGAGGTTGGGGCTGCCCGCTTAAGACTATCTACGAAGAATACGATTGGGAAGAAGAAGAGACCTACGAACGCTCGCTGGAATATTCCGAATCGCGGTTGCCGGGATTTGATGTGCTCGGTTATTCATATTCCGATATGGAAGCGGCGGATTCGCCGGGCAGTATCTGCTTCCTGTGGGAAGAGGAGGCAGAGGAGCTCATTGAAATAGGGGTAGAGGAAGATAATATGTTTGAGATCGATCTTTCAGCTTCTGCTTGAAGGTAGCGGTATTATCGGAAGTCAGATTGAATCGACTCGTGAGGGGTTTTCCTTTTACCTTTTTTTTTTATATAATTTTGTTTTTCTTAGATTTTTTTTATTTTATTTTTTTCTAGCGGAGGATTTAAAGGTTATTGGATGTTTATGTATTGTTAGGCTTATAGTGGGCTTGGAGAGTTCAGTGAAAATTTTGTCCTCTTGATTGGATTATTGCTAATTACATTTATATTTCATGAGATGGATATTTAAATCATTGTTTAGGAATCGAAACACCATAGTTTAATTAGGAATGTTTGCATACGGGATAATAGCATGGCTTCAATTCTTTGAGAAGTGACACGTCACCAAAAAGATACTCGATCTAATATGAATTTTGATGCATTTTGCAATTAGGTCTCCGAAAATAAGTGTTGTTCCTTCTAAACTATGTTTCAGGAAATTTATATTTTAATTGAATATATCAACAAATGAACCAAACCATGAATGAACCAAACCATGCCAAATACGACGCTTTGGAGTTCAAATGAGCATGCCTAAAATACCTGAAGCATAATAGACAATTTTGAGATTTTTACTGAAGGGTAAAACCATCAAAAAGTATTGTAAACTTTATAATCAAATTAACATCTCAACAGCTCAAGTTTGTTTAATTTTGACGTTAGTAAGACAATTTCTTTTTGATTGCCAACGCCTATCTACAATTCTTAGGCCTCACCATTCAACCATTACTATTGAGTTATCATCAAATTAGTTCCATCAATATGCCATCGCTTGTCAATTATAGTCAAATTGATCATCTCTATCACATGATCATTACTCATTTACATCCGGTCACTATCATTTGATCACCATTATTTGATCACCAAGATTACATAACCACTACTAGTCCATTGTTGTCAGACATAAAGGTGTTAAAAGTTAACCTAAAATGCTAGTTCGACTCAAATAATTGGGGTTCTTTTTTGAGGTCACATTTGTGTAAAAAAAATCAACACATTTAAATTTATAGATCGGGTTTGAAACTGATTTGCAACTAGCCGATCAACCTAAAATTGACCTGAAATTAACTAACAATCCTTAAATTGATCCATACTTGATTCAAAATTGACCTTACTTTGACACAAATAACATATACGCATATATTTTTTGAGTTAAGTTAGTTGCGTCTGTGTTAATCCAGTTGAAAGTGGGTTGAATAATCATGAACCACTAATATCATTATCCATTAAAAATTTGAATCTTAGTATATATAATAGATATAATAAAATTTTAGTGGGTTTTAGACTTTTAAAGTATTAGGCTTTCAAAATATGTTATCAATGAATGGAGAAAGATGTATAAGAATATATGGATGTTTAATTGTAAATAAATAATAGGATATCTTCACAAATTTCTCCCTCCTCTCATACACACATAAGTTTAATTGTTATGACTTGAAACAACACGATCCTTACAAACGAGAGTGGTCAAATTATGTTGGATGCATGACAAACACTATCCAAGATCAATTTAAAAAGAATTGAAAAATACATAGTCATTAATATTAGGAAAAAAATATTAAATAATAGTAATCAACTTCCATTCAATTCACATAACAAACTACACAATAAAAAGATCTATATATAACAATCATGACAAGTATATCTAGGTCTATCGCAAAATAATATCATCATGATTTTAAAAAAACCATCCACCTTACAGATAGGAACTATAATCTTTAACTTTAATATGCATGCTCCTTTACTTTTTTCCTCTAAAATCAATATATCCACATCAATTGCAATCGAGTATTAACAGCCACACTGTTTACATAAAACTTATCCAAAATTTTAAATATACCAATGACCAAGTAATGCGTGTGCTAATTTTGTTATCAAAATATAGACACTAAAAATACATTAAAATAAAAAGGTTTTGTAACAATATTATGATAATGGATATAATGAAGTAACATGTCAAAAAATTTTTGAATTATTTCTATCGCGTCGGTAGAAAATTTACAAAATTCACACTTTAACATGATATGTGTATAAGGATAAGCTAATTAAAATAAATAATATATTGGAATATATCATATTAATTGGTTTCATCATGCTATTATACATACCACGTACATCACATATTTCATCATACCCATACACCTCTATAAATAAAATTATTGATTTATTATGGCCCTTGGAACTTCTTAGAAGTATATATGTTACTTTGGCACTTGTATCTCAAAATAAGTACGCATATGGCTCAAACCCTTACAGCTCCTAGTGCATACAAAATTAATAATAGACCTATTAATCTAAAACCATTTTATATAAATATATTTTGTAATCGATAAATACATATAAATTAATTTTTTGATGAACACAAACAATTTGAATTTGGTCACAGAGTGTATATGCATTTCTAAATATGACAAAATAGGAACAACAAATATCTTTTAATCATATTATATGAATCATAAAATATAACAACAAATAACACTTATTGCATTTAGAACATGCTTGTGGCATATTCAAATTAATTTTATTAATCATTCAAAACGCTCCAAAATACCAAAAAATATTATATAATCTAAATATTTTATGAATGTGCAATATGAGCGTGTTGATGTGTACAAAATAATTAGAAAACAAAGAGAAATTACACATTAAAAAATGCACGACTATCGAGATTCATGCTTTTTGTATAGCTTGTTTATATTAAATAAGAAAATTCGTAAACATCAAAATATTTTAAAATGTTTAGGTACTCTAATTGTAGCATATCTTGAGCCAGGCAATTTTCCAACTTACTAGATAGACAATATTAATTCTATAAATTCTAAAATTACACTCCTCTCTCCTATGCCTTTTTAACTTTCCTTTTCTATCTTTATTGTACTTTTTGGCTAATGAAGAGTAAAATATTAAATAAAGATAGTGTTTTGGACTAATATATTAACAGAGTTTTATAATCTCAATATATTTACAAAATTTAGGATGTAAAGGTAATTATGATAATTACTTTAGTTTTATTGTAAATTCTATGTATGCCATCTCATATCTTTAGTATATAACTCCAAAAATAAAATAAAATAAAAAAACCAATATTCAAAATGCCCCACTTAGAATATAATGGTGATAAAATTTTATAAAATATTTGCCAACTGACTCCAAAAAAGCTTTTATATAAATACATATAAAATTTTCAAAGTATTCAGATCAGTTAAAAAAAACTCTTACTTTACAACGACACAACCAAGAAAGACAGGACATTTTGTTTCAGCCCCGAATAGCATACCCACAGGGAGAATTATAATATTTTAAGTAAAAAAAAAAGTAGATAACAAATTTTACTTTGCGAAATATTCTTACGCAAACTATAGATGTTATAATATGAATGAAAGTTCAATTCTTTTTTGTAATTTTGGATAATTGAAATTAAAATAAACAACTAAATAAATTTAACTAGATAATTGCACTCTTATCTGGTTTGCAGTCAAGTTTTTGGCACCGTTGTAAAATAGGAAATATAAGTAAGAAAATAAGAATTGAAAATATAACCACATACTTTATAGTACTGTCATAAAAGGCCGGACCTAAGTTTTTAGCGTCGTTGCCAGGGAGAAAGAAAAAAAGTTTGAAGGAATTTTAAGAGAGCAAATTTCTACTTCGAGAAAGTCTTATTTAAATTTTTAAATTTATTATTGGAAATTGTAGTGTTGTTTTTATATATGTTCTTGTAGGTGTGATTTTATTTTATGTTTTTTTTTTGTAGAAATGTATGTGTAGTTCAAGTTCTAAAGAATTAGTGTCCTACAATTCTGAATTAAAATGAACTATTAGAAAAATAAATAAAAAATAAAAAATACTGAGAAAAATAAAAAAATTTCAAGAAAAGGCAAATCAAAATAATCAAAATGCTGAAATTAATGAAGAATTTTAACCTTTAAGAGATTATGCAAACCCTACAGTAGATGAACTTCATTTTAGTATTCAAAAATCTGTTGTAGTGGCTAACTCATTTGAACTTAAATCTGTGATTATCCAAATGATATCAAAGAATCAGTTTGGGGAAGCACGAACTGAAGATCCATATTTATATCTTGCCATTTTTTTAGAATTGTTCGCTACATTAAATATGATGGTGTTTCTGCTACAATAAATATGATGGTGTTTCAGATGATGCTAAGACTTAGACTTTTTAAATTCTTACTAAGGGACAAGGCTAAAATATGATTAAATTCTCTAGCACCTGGATCTATTAGAACTTGTGGTAATTTAGCGTAGAAATTCCTTGCTAAATAATTTCCACCATCAAAAACTGTAAAGTTTAGAAATAATATTAAAACTTTTTTACCAGTTTGAAGGAGAATCTATTTATGAATCATGGGAAGGATTTGAAGAATTACTAAAAAAGTATCCACAACATGTTATACCAGTTTGGTTAAATTCAAACCTTTTACAATGGATTAGTTGCATCTCTTAGATCTATTATTGATGTCGGAGTTGGAGTTTAATTATGTCAAAACTATTTCGTGACGCTTATGCCTTAATTGAAGAGATGACTACTAGTATATTTCAATGGCCTTCTTAGAGGGTGAATCTTATAAGTAGCCAATATTCATGAATTTGATGCTTTTGTAATGTTAGCAAATCAAGTTGCTACAATTTCAAGGAAGTTAGACCAATTTAGAATGAATTTTTCTCAACCAATTTTAGTAATTGAAGAAAATTCATTGGGCCAAATGGTAGCTTCTCAAACATCATTAGAAACTTTGAATGCAAAAAATAATAAGCCAAATAACCCATATTCAAACTCTTATAACTCAGGTTGGAAGAACGATCTTAACTTTAACTGAAACAATGCTTCAGGTGGTAATAACAATAGGGAACAACCAAGTAAACCCAATGGGAAAATGGAACAACCAAGGTAATAACAATTATAGGCTTTCTTATCCTCCCTGTTCTAACTGTAATCCACAATTTAAGGAGAAAAGGTTGTCTATAATAGAAGTGGTGTTA